TAAAAAAATAAAAATAAATAAAAAATACAAATACTGGTTAGAACTCACTAAACTGATTTAATACCCCACAGTTTGAAAGACAACTGATCTAAGATATACTACTTTATTTTTACAAATAGATCTTTATAAATCTATTTCCTTATCTGTAAAATGGAGATGACAATTGTGGTAGACTGAAAAATCCCCTACCCTCCCCCCCAAAAAAACCCTAGATTTTTTTTTTTTTTTTTTTTTTTTAAAGCTCCTAGCAGATGTTACTAATTTAGGGATCTTCAGATAAGATCACCTTGGATTTTCTGGGTGGGTCCTAAATCCCATGAAAGTGTCCTTTTAAGAGACACACAGAGGAGAAAGCATACAGAGAAGAGAAAGTGATGTGAAGGTGGAGGTAGAGATTGAAATGATGTAGCTACCAGCCAACAGATGCCAAGGACAGCTGGCAGCCGTCAGAAGCTAGGAGAGAGGCATAGGGCAGATTCTTTCCTAGAGCCCTGGAGGGAACTTGGTCCTCCTGACACCTTGATTTCAGACTTGTGGTCTTCAGAATTATGAGAAAATAAATTTCTGTTGTTTTAAACCATTAGCTTATGGTAATTTGTTACAGCAGCCAAAAGAAACTAATGGCATGGTCAAATAAGATCTTATACATGAAGGATATATATGGTGCCAAGTAAACCATATGTGCTCAAAGAAAAGTAATTACTATTAATATTATTAAAGAAAAGAAAAGAAAAAAAATAAGGTCTGAGTCTGAGCATGGTCAACAATTAGGTTGCTGCCTAAATCTCAACTCATGTTTTCATCATTAACCACAATGCTCTGGTGGTGTAGTGCCTAAGGCATTTGACTACTACCAGAGAGCTGGCAATTCAAACCCACCAGCCACTCCTTGAAAGGATGACTGGGCAATCTACTTCTGTAGAGATACCTCCCTGGAAACTCAAGGAGTGGTTACTATGAGTTGGATCTGACTCAATGGCAGTGAGTTTGGCTTTGGGTTTTTTTGGTTATGAAAGAGTGGTGCCACCTCTTCCTATGATACCCAGCTACCAGTCTGTGACTGTTGGGGAGGTCTAACAGGTAAAACACTTGGTTGGAACTTGAGTGAGTGTGGTAGTTAAGGCTGTATGTTAGCTTGGCTGGCCCTGGTCTTGAGTGGCTGGGCAGCTGGATGTAGTTATTCCCCATGGTGAGATTGGTAATTAACTCCATGGTGGAACATATTGGAGCAGCTAAGTAGCTGCTTTAGGAATGTGGGCTGCTTCCAGAATATAAGAAGCAACTTTGAGGAAGGTCTCTACCTTTTTGGCACTCTGGGACCTTGCATGTAGCCAAGACTTCATTCAGCAGTCTATCACGCTCTGCCGATCTTGGGCCTTTCAATGGACTTGAATCAATGTCCTGCCATGTGGTTTGGCAATATCAGGACTGTGCCTTCTTACCTGTTGACCTTGGGTTTTTCAGCCTCAGTAGCCAGTAGATGCCTGAGTGAAGAGACTCCTCTTCAGTAGGTCAGAGACAAGAGACAGAACCGAAGCTCAAGGTTGAGGGGCTTTCTCCCAGCCCCTAGAGCCTAGTACTTGGAACTCAGACTTCTAGCCTCCAAAACTGTAAGAATAAACTCCTGTTTGTTAAAGTGATCCCCTCTGTGGTATACTCCTGTCAGAGTGGCACTAGGTAACCAAAACAGTGAGTTACCCTGCACATCAGCACGGATGCCGATGCTGAGAAGAACCTATGGATTTGGAGAAACATCAGTGTCTTGCCACTTAGAGAGGATTTGCTTTGATGCAGGAGGCATTCATGGACTTATTATCTGAGGTTTCATGCCAAGAAAATTGAGGGCCTGTGAATAGACAATGTGACCCTGGAGATATCCCAATGCCAACTACTCCTTTACTATTGTTAAAGACTCCTTTCTCTTCTTACTATGAGATGTTATGATGATTTTTTTTTTTTTTTTAAAGCTGCACTGGAAGGGTATTATAAGGCATTTGGCTGCTAACCAGAAGGTTGGTGATTCAAACCCACCAGCTGCTCCATGGGAGGAAGATGAGGCAATCTACTTCTCTAAAGATTTATAGCCAATGGAAACCAATGGGGGTCGGTATGAGTCAGAATTGACTCGATGGCAGTGGGTTTGGTTTGTTTTTGGTTTGGAAGGGTATTATAATAAACCGTGTAATATAGAAAATCTTTTGCCCACAGAATCATTTGAAGAGGTTCATTCTGAAGGGCTGGGCTTATTGTATTGCTTATTCTCATGACGGTGGGGACATAATGAAGCCAAAGATACCACCCCTTTTGTCTTTTATATATTATTCCAATAACTGCAGGGAGACCACAACCCTGGGCTGGAAGTGGATGGGGAATGGAAGGGAGCAGAAATAGAAAGAGAGTTGGACTCTTCTTATCAGAACAATGACAATTTTCAACAACACTGACTTGCTATTCTTATTAAATACCCACATTCTAGAAATTGTCATAAATATATGCTTGATTTTTAGTTGAAATGTTCCTTTTCTATAAAGACATCTAGGTATTTAGTAGGTAATTTGGAACTTTTGACAACATTCTAAACATTGTAAACTTTTAAATAGTTCTTCCAATCAATCACACCAATACATTTTTTTATCCAAGCCAAAACAGATATTCCCATGCTTGAAATGCAATTTCTAATTTATTCTTAAGGGCTAATTTGCAAAATGAAATTGTTTGGATGATTGGTTTGCAGTAAACATGGTGTACCAAATTGGTTTCTAAATTTAGAGACAGGTTGAGTCTCCTCTTACAATAATCAAGAAATAGTAGAAGTATTGATGATAATGAAGCTCCCATAATTAAAAAGTCAAATTTTGAAATAACAAGCAGAAATGAAGGTTAGCAGGTATCTGCCACATAATTTATAATTTTTGTAATGGCTATTTTGAGCTCTTTTCATGGGATAACACAATCTCTAAAATGCAATTTACTCAATAGTAGCATATGTACCATACATACAATAATTAAGTTCCATAATCTTGGGGGATTTAATACTATTACATATAATTTAAAGATATAGAAAATAGTGTCTAAAACTCTAAGAACCACAAAACAAAAGCAAAGTTCTTTTAATAGATGCTATGATATCCATGTCTAATACTTTAAAAATTTCAGAATATAGAAATTATTGTTATACATACAAATTTATTCAAAACTCTTGTTTCCATATAATAGGATTTGAAGATAAGCTCTAGATTTTAAATATGGTAGACTCCAAGTCCTTTCGTGGAGGTTTTTGAGGACTAATTTTTGGTAACATCTCTTTGGCATAAAATGTTTTATGAAGTCCGGCTTCTCGAAGTGCTAACTCAAAGCGAAGTCTAGGGTCAGAAATTATCTGCAGGAATAAAACACAGTGTCAATAAATAGAAGTTAACTGAACTAAAGTAAACGTACCATTTACTTTTGTATTTCCCCATGCTGCATAACTTATTTATTTATTTATTTGCTGATAGATGGTTAGATTACAATAATCTTGGTGCATAAAGATCATTATATTCCTGTCATTTTTGCTGAGAATGTACAAAACTTTTTTTTTTTTTAAACATTTAACACTTCCCAGTACTTCAGTGGTTTCCAACATAGAATGTATAAAAAATTGTATATTTGATTAGTCAAAATACAACACAGTAAAATCACTAACAATGGGGTAATAGAAGTTTACTTTCCAGTATAATCACTGATGGACCATTTATTGATAGCAGCTGGAATTGTAAAATGTAGAAAATCAGTGATTAAAATAAAAAGTCATAACCTTGTGCATTTGTCTTTAAATAGACATTTTAATTTCTCCATCATTTGGCAATATGTAAATTAAGTTTAAACACATGGGCACTACTTGAAACAAAATCAATAGAATGTTTCTTCCAAGGCCGGATTTCTATTTCAAGCAGAACTAGAAAATGCCTCCATCAATCTGATTCTAAGTGGGAATAGACAGACAAGTAGTTCAATTTCTGTTTTTATTTATAGCTGATTGGACCTTATTCCTCTTCCTCTCTTTCTATGAATACTAAATGTCAACCAATATTGTTTGCAGTGATAAGAAGGTGACCACATAAGGATATTAGCTAATGAGGCATATTACATGGACTTGAAGCCCCTGTAGAGGATAGGACAATAAGCTGTTTAAAGCAGCCCCTCACTCAAGAAGCACTTAAACTAATGAGGGTAATAAGAATGTGTGCGGATAACTACAGATCTGCATCTTTGGCAGATGCTTCAAGAGTAGTAAAGCATGGAGGTACATCTTCTGGTGCTGGGAGGATGAGGGTGGTCTCAGGGAAGGATGGATCTTTGAGCTAGCCTTACAGTTGAACTTAATTCTTCTATAAAGTGAAGAAAGAAGCAAGAAAAAAAATGGCACATATAAACTTAGAGGTGAAATAGGTCAGTTTGTGATCTGGGTAGTTTGGGTAGAGCACTGGGTGCCATTGGGGAACCCTGGAAAAAGATGCTTCCAAGATTGGGATATGAATTTAAAAGGCCTGAAGGTCTCACCAAGGAGTCTGGGGAGTTCCTGGGCATTGTGCTTGCTTTTATTTTTAGTATGAAAGTAATATAATCATTGCATAAGATGATGGATCTGGTTGTAAGTCCAGGACAAATTAATATGGCAGGGAAAGAAGAGATGGAGAAAAGCAGATGGTTAGGATTGTACTACAATTGTCTAAACATGAAGTAATAAGGGTTAAACTTGGTGGGTAACAGGGAAGATATAGCTGTCAGAAATACTATGAAGGGAACAATCCATGGAAGTTGACAGCTGATTAGATGTAGGAGCTAAGGGTTATTATAAGTATGAAGTCCAGAATAACACAAAGATTTGTGTCTGATAAGCAGCACATTCAAGCCTTGGACCCAGGTTTCTCCTCTTCTCTATTAAGACATCCACTTTTGTCTTTCTTATCCACTCCCAAAGATCATGCTCCCCCTGTGTGCTGTTGACTCTCAAATTATTTCTAGACTTTCCTCTCTCCACAGCTACAGAGTTATGAGATTTAAAATTTTTTCCTTACTCTATTTTTCAACAGATATCAAGTGAAATTTAGGTCTCCATTCAGTCCTGACTCCCATCTCCTCTATCTCCCTACTAAGAGGCAACCAATCAATTCCTTGTAAGTGTATACTAGACATCATCACCCTAAACATGACATGAACAAGACAAATTCTCTTCCTAAATCTGTTCTTCCTTCTGTATTTTTAAATGGTTAATAGCATCACCATCTAATGCTTATAATTTACTGAATTACTACTAGATACCAGCCAATATTCCAAGCAATTGACATTTTTTTTATCTCTAATCTTCATAAGAAACTTGTAAATAATTCCCTAAAAGATGAAGAAAATAAGACATAAAGATGTGGCTAGCTTATATAAGTTCACACAGTTAGTAAATGGAAGATTGGAACTTAAATCCAAAATTCAGGCTCTTCTCATTATTACATGCCGCCTACCTTGGAATCATCCTCACTTTCTTTATCCTTTCCCCCTCTCAGCCACGGCCATTCTTGTCCCCATCCTCCACTTCCTGAGGCTCCACCATCTTAAGCGGATTTGGCCCACCCCAATTCTTCAATAAAACACACATTGATAAAACATAAATCTGATTATACAATTTGCCTGCTTCAAAATCTCACCTAGGAATCATAAGTTTTAGAAATCATTAAAGAACCTCTTAACATTTTTCCACAGAAATGTTTGATTTTATTATCAACTCTGATGCATTATTTTCTTCTGTTCATTTTAATTTCTTAAAGCTTGTCTCTGCTTTGTCTTATACCAGTACCATCAATTGTTTCTTTAATAGGATTTGTTATGAATTTAAATATAAATACCTTAATAATATAGAGAAATATTTAAATAGCAAAAAACAGTATTAACACAGAATTTTCAAATAAAACTTTGTAAAGTTATTATTAAAAAATAAAAAATAATGCTCAGTGATGGGTTTCACAACATTTTTAGATAAACTGCTTAGTCTATGGTTCTCTATCAGTCATTTTGCAATATTAAGAATTACACAGTAGTTATGTGCTGTGCTTTAAAAGTAAAATTCTGCTAATATGTGTGGTATTCAAATGTAAATATTGATGGGAGGAAGTGGGAAGAGAGCTATTACATTGTGGGGAATTGCAGTCAGTGTCATAAAACAATGTGTATGCACTGCTGTATGGAAAATGAATTTGCTTTGTAAATTTTCACCCAAATCACAATAAATAATTTTTTTAAAAAATGTAAACACTGAAAACCATTTAAAAACCAAAACACACACTTCTATAATTCTTATTGTCATCATCATGGTGTTTGTCTAAATCATGCCAATTTCCATAATTACCTGCTGTTCATTGTATGTATTCAATGGGAAGAGTGGCTTTTGAAGAATAAATTCTTCTTCAATTCCAATTTTCATCCTAGCTTTTGATGCCATTGTATCTGACATCATTCTAACAGGATCAAAGTGAGCCACAATAGCAACCTGAAAGAAGAGAAAGCACAGTGACTTGGAACATGGCACATACTAACTACTTCTGGGCAACATTATTAATGTTTAATGTCAATTATAGTTAAGAAATTGTATTAATGACAAAACCCGAGGGAAGTGCAGAAAGAATATTAAAACTCGGCCAGTCCTATAGATCTATAAAGAAGTAATGGTTTTAAAACAAACCAAAATAAAAGATTAAAAGGCCATAGTATATAATAGGAGCTCTGGTGGCATGGTGCCTAAGGCATGTGACTGCTAACTGGAAGGCTGGTGGTTCAAACCCACCAGCTACTCCTCGAAGGAAGGTTGGACAATCTACTTCCATAGTGATTCCACCCCAGAAACCAAGAAGAGGTCACTATGAGTCTGATCTGATTCAATGGCAATGACTATTTTTTAGTTTTCAGTATATAATTATTCACTAATGAATGGATAATTAATATTACCATTAATTTTAGATAAAAACTTATCTCCCTGATACAAAATCATAGGGAAACTTACACAGAAACCTTATATATTTAATCACCTTGAAAGTAACCAAAAGCAAACTAATAATAATTTTTTGACCATTAACAATTTATGGCTATGGTAACGATCCCATGAAACTTTCCAGAAAGTTTAATCTGATTAAATTGAATCCAGAGTATATCATTCATGGGTAAAGTCAAATATGTTGACATTATAAGGCAAGATGGATGAATTTCCATTGCACTAGACAACAACATTTCCAGGGGCTGTTATACCCTAATGGCCCCCTTTTACTGAAAAACTGCAGAGTAATTTTAACCCAAATGTCCTTGTCCTTTGTGATCATTCAAACCTGCAGCCTAATGAAAAGAAGCCACTAATTTTGTAAATTAAATGCATCATTAGTAACACCTGCCTGATAATTCCTAAAGTCAAGAATTAGCATTAAGAAAATGGCATTTTTAATACCATTTAAAAGCTGTAAACTCTGGTAGCATAGTGCCTAAGGCACTTGACTGTTAACCAGAAGGCTGGAGGTTCAAACCC